TAAAACATGAACGGATGCCGAAAATGGCATCCTGGACAATTTATAACCGAGTTTATCTCTTCTTAACATTCGCGACAGAAAATGCGACATGAATATAAAACTGGTTTGGCTGTCATAGCTGACAGCTATGTATTTTCTTGTACGGAGCGCATTCAAGAACAAAATGTTGGAGGAGAAGGTGCCTCGCCCCCATAATGGGGGAAAGAGTTCCTTGCCATTTGTAGAGTTTCTCAAAAATTTTATAGTATTGTTTAAAAACATAAACGCTGAATGAAATTAAAATAACTGTAGAGAAACAATTTATGTCAATTCATGTTAGTCAATTAAAGCTCATTCTAAGTTCAAATTTATTTGAAATATTGTTAAATTCAAATAATATAATATTAATATTTGAGTGTTATATATAATTGATTTTAATGACTAGGTATTTCTTAAAAAATGATTAGATGTTATTTTTTAAAAGTTTACAAAATTACTTATCAGAAGTTTATTGTTCTATAAAAGTGCCTTGCAATTGAATTTTAAAACACGAGAACCAGTTATGATATGTATATTTAGTATTTAATACTACTAGTGTTTTGATTCATTTCAAGAAATTTCCATAAAATTATGTTTATTTAAAAAAAATAAAGAGTTTTCAATGTCGGTATTAAGAAAAGGATTACTTTGAAATTATCTGTATTCAATTTCTTTGTTTGTATCTAATTAATACGCGTTTGTTATTCTATAGAAAATTTTACTATAGATTTCTTCTACCCTATTTTCAGTAAAGTGTCGATCGATGAGCTTTTTTAAAGTGTAGCGCCTCAAAGATCATTTAAAAAGGGTGACTATATTAAAATCTATTTTTTTTTTCACTTTCAAAGGCTATGGTAGAATGGAGTTTACTTATATATAAGTAACTTGATCATGTAGAGATATTTTTATAGAATCACAAAGTGCTAAAAAGTATTTAAAATGCAAACCACAGAATGAAACAATGATATAATTTAAAATTTGAGTTTTTATTTATGTCTAAAAAGGAATGAAGACTTAGAAATACGGCTCAAAATTGTATTAATAATAATATGTTATTATATATTGTTTAAGCATAAGATTATATGCGCATAGGAAGTAAGATGCATAATCAAGAGCTGATTAAAAAGCATTGGAATTCAGAACAATTTTAATTCGTTATATAGTATATGATTCATTAATTAAATATATAAATTAAAAAATTTGATTTTTTATATACTTTAAATTTTTCTGAAAATTTTGAACTTGTTTTCAAAGCAATCGTCAGCGCCGCATATAACGGATAAACAATGTTACGGACCCCATAGAAATGTAAACAAAATTCATACTTATTATTAAACTTTTGTCTGTATAAAATTTCTGATAATTTGGTGTGGATATGTCTAATCATCATTTTGACCGCCAAATGTTTTTTTTTACTTTTTTCATTCGGTTTTTAAAACCCCTAATACCTGCTACCACAATAAATTTAAACGATTCTTATCAATACAAATAAATTTTTTTGAATTATTCAAACCGGATACTTCGTTCTCTCAAAAACTGCGTTACCATTTTTAACTCTTTTTGCCCCGTATCTTTGAAACGGTTGGACCTGCTTCTACCAAAAACTAATCGGCACGTCACCTTAACAATAGGAATCGAATGCTTTTTGAATTACTCAAATCGGTTGATTCGTGTTCTTAAAATCGTCGACAAAACATTGTATCCACACATACATACACACACACATACATCCATTTTTTAAGGTATTCAAAAATGTTTAGAAACCTTTGAAACGTAAAGATATATAAAAATTTCCATTTTCGAATTTTTTGCGATTACTATAATTTACGCCACGAAAAGTTAATAAATTAAAATAATCAATTAAAAAATAAAATCAACTACATGTATTTCGAGTATTTCTTCAGTTTCTTACATTTGAGAGTTTCATCATCTTTGTACCATCGCGCCAGATGCGTTAGAACTATTCTACGGAAAGTTAATAAATTGATATAATCAATAAATTAAAAAATAAAATCAACTATATATATTTCGAGTATTTCTTCAGTTTCTTACATTTGAGAGCCCTATCATCTATGTACCGTCGCGCCGGATGCGTTAGAAGCATCCTACGTGCATCTTACAAAAGAAGCACAAAAGGGCGAGACTCCTCCGCACGTAGAACGCGACACCACTCTGCGGAGCCCCTCTAGAAAAACAACTCACAACTAATGGGCTGCGAGTTTCAACCCGCGAAGACAACGAGGCATTTTCACCCCAGAGATGGGGTCATGTACAAGCTGTAAGAGAACAGCTTTTAAAAGCTTTAATATACTGGAATGTCGAACTAGGAAACTTACAAAAAGAAATAATTGATTTTTATAATTTTATATAAAATTTAATTTAGTTGATTTTTAAGTAATTAACTGACAACTATTTATGATTTAGAAGCAGTGGTATTTCAAAATTATAGATATTCATATAAATTTATATGTTTATATTTTTAATATAAAAATTTTAATATATTTTTAATTAAATAAAATTTCAAAAAACCTTTATTATAAATGAAAGCATGTTAAATAAAAATTGATATAAAAATGTGAACTATGAATAACTAATGAATACATTTAAATTTAAAATATATTAAATATCAAATATACCTAACAATTTTATAAAAATTATGTTAACATTGGTTGCTGAATTGTAAGATATGGTTTCTCAATACATTTAATTCAAAATAAATATTATACTTTATTTCGGGCTATTAACTATTAACTAATTCAAATAATATGTTTCAATGTTCATAAAGAAAAATCAATATACATGTTATCATATAATATTGTATAAGAAAATTAAAGATACGTAATACTCATGAATAATTTTCAAACAACTCTAATTTATTTCAAAACTTAAAAAAATATTAATAACAAGAATTTTATAATTGGTTGTAAATGTATAAAACATGTCTCATATTAGAAAAGTGCAATACTTTTCAATAGAGAACAATAAGTAGAGGATGCTTTAAAACTCTTCTTAGTTTATATTTTAATAAGAGCTGCCACATGAAAGCTTCCAAAGTCTTTGTCCAAATAACAATTGCAGTCTTAAAGAATTGTCTTAAATCAATAGGGATTCTAAGGGATTCTATGAAAAATATGAGTGTGAAATATTGTTAAAATTTTTATTCTATAAGAAATCGCTAAAACTATAAACGCAAAAAATTTGAATGAAATTAAAATATATATATATATATATATATATATATATATAAACATAGAATTTTGTGATATGAGTGGAACGAATATTAAATGTTAAATATGAACAATACAACACTCAGATTTTTAACACACACTTTATTTGGTAATTCCAGACGTTTATTTATTTATGTATATATATATATATATTTATATATACGAGTATTTATATAATCATATTTTATTGCATTTTAAGATACTCAGTCTAAAATGTGAAACTTATTGCTTTTCAGATTTTCACATATATTTATGCATAAATATGTATTTACATATATGCATATTTTATTCCATTCCAAACCATTTATGAAAAATGAAAAACTTATTGCTTTTCAAATTTTCATATCTTCTTCTTTCAATCGATAAATAAAACGTAATATAATGATACATCCAGCTTTCTCTCTGTGATCTGTTCACGACGTATTTCTCAAAGACCTTATCTCATAATAAATAAATTTTACGCATTCTTCTTTTTTCTTATTATATTAATTATTATAGAACAAGAAGCCACGAAATTTCATTACTTATTTAATAACAGAAACAGAACCGCAGGCAAAATCGCGTTAAGGAACATCACAGTCTGTTTTCGGAAGCGTAATAAGAGATTTTCTCATTATGCGTTCTGTGAGTAATACATAGCTTTTTGTGAAGAAAAGAAGCATTAATAAGTCAGAGGTAATTTTTGTACGTATAAATATTCCTAAACGTCAGCTTATTTTCACTTTTATTTATACAACTTTTATTGAATTCAAATATGGCATAAATAATTCATTAACAAGTAGACATTCAAGAATTAATTCTAGTTGTTATAGTTTAATTTATAAAAGATTATATGACAATGAGCTTTTTTTCCTTGAAAAATAGCATTATTAACAGCAATTATAGTGCTAAAAATAATCGTGAAATATTGTTTTACTTAAAAATAAATATTTCATTCAAATAACAATAAATTATTCAACTTTGGGAACTTGATTGATAAAGTTCAATTTTTTATATACTCAAAAATTCAATTGATAATTATGAATTTAGAATGCTTGTTAATTAATTATTTTAAAATACCATATAAAATTTATTTAAAATTCAGATTACTGCAATTGCCTTTTATATGCACATGATGCAACATATTCTAATCATCCATCAAAATAAATTATTACCGTAGCGCTGAATACGGTGGAGACGCCATGTAGAATCGAGCACAATGAAAACTTTAATAATGATACAATTTTTAAATAGGAAAGTGTTTATTCATTATTAAATAAATCACAGTAATATTTAATTCATCATAAAAACTAAATTTTAAACTCTAAATTAAACAATAAAAATGAATAAATAATTACAAAACGCATATATCTAAGCATAAATAAGTTTTAAAAAAACTATAATATAACAAAATGTAATACATGTAATTAAATGTGATCTTTGATATTAACTATTTATGTTAACTATGTTTTCATTGATTATTTATTTTATATAAAATATCTTAATAATATAATATTAAATGATTCTAGATTGTTGTGATACCCAACGTTATTTATTGATAAGCAATAAGGCAGTAAAACTTCACAAATAATCAATCTTTAAATGAACTCGATGAACAGTAAACATTGATGATTCTTTGTGGGTTTATGTATAAAAAAGTTGTATCGATAATTCAATTTTATGAAGAAGTAAACATCTCACTTCCTCGATAAATAAATATTTTTAGAGTAAAAAGGTTTTAGTTCAGAAAATCAAAATTGTAATCATAATATAAATTTTTATTTAATATATAATAATGACAGCCTTTCGAAATGGCTAACTCTAAATTTCTTTTATCAATTGTTTCTTTTTATTCATTTTTCGATTTGTATTCTCTTTTCAGGTACTACGCTGATTTAGAAAAGAAACGTTGTCCCGACATCCAATCTTTTAGCTCATCATATCCAGCAAACCATTCAATCCAAGAACCTGTAGATCCAAATGCTTGTACAGTGTGGAGGCGCTTTGCAAAGTAAGTACCTGATGAAATATTAATATACAGACAAGTAGCACTAGAAGCACGTTCCTTTGGGATTACTTTGGATTTCCAATATGTATTATGCACCAAATACTGTAGCAATACTGCAGTATGACTTACTTACATGCTTCTTGCCACGAACGTTTTACTCAATGAGTAATTTATGCCAACATTGTGCTTTTAATTTTGACTATATTCTTTTTTCGTTAATTAATATAACATTCGATTCAACTAACTTTTTCCTAAAGTTGTATTTAAATATGAGTAGAATAACATTACTTTGTTTGTTTAAACTGACTACAATATTCTATAATTTATTACAAAAAGTTTGTAACTACGATTTGTCTTTTTGAAAAACACCTCTATCTCACAAAACTATTTCTTTATCTGCATGATTGCACTTATCGGCTTTAAGTAATCTGCAAAAGTAGGTCAGGAAAATAAATTTGCAATTTTTATCATTGACTGAATCGCCCTCTCTATGTCTAATGCGTTGAAAATAAAATTGATCACATTACTTTATTTTGTTTAAATCGAATGATTTACAATTGATTAAAAGAAATTAAATGAGCCAAACTAGAAACCCTATTATTATTACAATTGATTATAGTAAACTTTTACAGTTATTTAGTTAGTAAATTATTAAGTTAGAACCTATATATATGAATTGCTACTAACTTTTACAGATATTGATTTATAATGTATTATATTAATTGTTTTTCAACAGTTTATTTGAGACTACACAAACGCTTTTTTGGGCAGTTTTTGGATTGGTAGATTTGGACAGTTTCGAGTTAGATGGTATCAAAATCTTCACACGATTTTGGGGAATGCTCATGTTCGGAACTTATTCAGTTATTAATATTGTGGTGTTACTTAATTTACTGATCGCGATGATGAATCACTCCTATCAACTCATATCGGTAAGTTTCTTTGAAATTGTTTGAACGAATCATAATATATTTATTTCTTTATTCTATTAATTCCAATAGGCTATACACAGTAATACACACTTAGTTCTGATGCAAAACTAAGCATAACAAAACATACAGGAATATAAATTAATGTAATTTAGACAACATATAGAAAGATTAAAAATATTTTTAAGTAATATTTAGAGAGCGTTGTTTTAAATCTCACTTTTGCATAATATTCTGGAAATTAAATATACATATCTGGTGAGGAAAGTAGACTACAAAAAGTGACATAAAAATTCATATAATCTATTTTACTTGCATCAATTTCCTATTCGTATTTATCGAAATATATTACTTTGGTCTGCATAAGTTTCCAAACTCTCAAACTGATCTGCATATTGCTAAGTCCAAGGCCATGCAATAAATTTGCGTAACTTTTTTGTATGCAAAGTTCGGCCGAGTTGTTACACACGACGAAACAAATTAAACTACACTTGACTTTGTAATCTGACCAAAGTTTCAGGTAATAAATGCTCCCTCCGGAAACAGTAACCTGCAGTCGCACCAAGACTCAATATAATTCTTGTTGTTTGAGAATAATTCTATCTGAAATATTCTGCGAAAAACTTCTGCGAAATGAAAAAGTAAAGTTTGCAGTGATGTGATTGCTTTCACTTAGCGTGCTTTTATATATGAGCTTTTTAGAGAAGTTAGATACATGTTTCAAGTCGCATCTAAAGTACTTTGTTTTAGAATCAAATGTTGAGTGCTCTGCCCTTTTGAGGATTCATTTTTATCCTTCTCATTCTATTTGATTTAATTTAAGTTTTTGAAAAGATTTTATGTAGAGCAGATACAATCTGAATAATTCACAAAATTATATCACGTTTTATTTATTCATAACGTTTTACGTTTAAACGTCTTATATAGTATGAAAATTATATGAATCAGTATAAAGAATTTATATAGTTATATATAGGCGTTATGACAAATACACTACACTAAACTTATTTTATTTTACATTTGAGTAAATATTTTCTACGTTTATTTGATTTCGGTTCTTATATAATTAATTTTGTCATATAATTGACTTTAAATTCAACATGTCCAAGCAAATGATATTGTTATTATGATTCTTTTTATCAAAAGATTGTGTTACTAAATATTTATTCCTATCACGACGAAAAGTAAACTACATTTTTTTAATTCAATGTGATGCATGGCTGCATGATTTTTACTTCAATTTCAAAAATCAATTTACTACTATTAGTACCTTTATTTATTTTCTATTTCCCAACAGCGCAAATACATCATAATCTGCGCAATTTATCCCGCACATCTCTCGTGCCCCAAGATGACAAACCCGATTGAATTACATATTTAAATCTCTCTTAGAGACGCCTCAAGCTCACTCTCATTTCAAATGAGAGGCAGTTTATTTCTTCCGGATTTCATCGGATCATACACGTCTTTAGTAGTTTTCTTGCTTGTATTACTTTTGCGGACGTCATCAGATCCGAATAAAAATCTTGATGTGGGGTTTAATAGTAAATTTGCCATGTTTGCGTATACCGCCTATAGACACAAGGCTGGTAAACCTTTGAATATACTTTAGATATAAATTTTACACTTAAATGACATAATTAAAAATCGAAAAATAAAAAATGTGTCTTATCCTTCACTAATATTTTCACTTATGGTAAAAAGAGGTCCATCACGGATATCTCAAAAACAAGTAAAGTTAGGGATTTTCAACAATAATATTTGAAAGTAGTAGGGAAATTAATTAGTATAATTAGCTATCGCCTTAAATAATGCAATGTCGCTATCAAAAGATTAACGGCCATGTTTGAAAATCTAAAATCTATAATATAATTTCGTACTTAGTATTTTTGAGCACTGTTGTTTAGTTTATAAAATCTTGATATAATTTCTAAATTTACTTTGTTTAATTGTTTTATAACATGATAATTTTCAGTTTCCAACAGATGTTTTTATATAACCTCTATGCTATAATAGTTTACATTTGGGTGGAGTATGAACTTTACCCTGGTAAATGTGTAAACTATAGAAAATATTAAAAATAAAAATGTAAATTCAGTTAAAAATAGCAATTTTTTGTGTTTTTACAATTTAGTTGTGTACGGCATCGTCCTTAAGGCAAATTGCTGGAACTTTCCGTACCGTAACGAAATGTTCGAGGAATATTAAATGTTTTGAAATAGATCATTATAAATAATATAACAAAGTTAAAATTATTTATTTATTTAAGCAAACTTTAGAACTTTAGCTAGAATTAAAATTAAAATCTGAGTTATTTAGGATAAACAAACAAAAATTACAAAAAAAAAAAATTTTACAAAAAAAATTTTTTTTCTCATGAGCAATTATTTTGGCAAAACAAGCAGATAATTTTTTGAATCATTCAAATTGGATGCTTAGTTCTCTCAAAACTTGCCATTTTTTGCACAATTAGCTCGGTATCTCCAAAACTACTAGACCTGCCTTTACCTAAAACTAAACACCACTTTTCCCAATCATTACAAATTGAATGTTTTTTGGATACTCAAATCGGATACTCCGTTCTTTCAAAACCTCGATTTCTATTTTATGCAAATTTGCTCCGTTCTAAAACGTTCTAAAGCTCACGTAAATAAATAAATAATTTTAACTTTATAATTTAGTTTATATAATTCTGTTTGTAACGGCTGGACCTGCCTTGCTAAAAACTAATCATCATGTCGCCCTTTCAATAGGAATCGAATGTTTTTTAAACCATTCAAATCGGTTGATACGTGCGCCCGAAAACGTTGACGAAAAATGCGGACACACACACACAAATCAATTTTTGCTTAGGTATCACCTTCAAAATGTGGAAAAATGTAAAAATTTTCGTTTTCGATTTACAGCCCATTACCCTACGGGAAGTTAATAAATTAAATAGATTAAAATAAGTCAGATTATGAAAGTAAGCAATTTTTGAGGGAGCATTTTCCACAGTATGAATTTTTCAGGCCTAATCTCCAAATCGCTAAAACGTTAGAATAATCATCATACGACTATTTAGCAAATGAGACTGGTAAAACAACAACTATTTTTTTTAGAGATTTGGCTTCTGAATGTTATTAATATGATATAAAAATTTTCAATATCTGAATTTGGTGTAGAAAAGTTTCTAAATTATAGAGTAATCATTATCACGTTATTTGGTTGTTTGATACGTTATATATGTGGTTGTTTAAAGTGTATTACGATAGGTAACTATTACAACATCTCACACAAACAAAAAAGTACTATTATAAGATGTTCTATCTCTTAAAAAGTGTTCTAGCCCTCGTTTTTTATAATCATTCAGAGTATGGTCCTTTCGGCATTATTTCGAATGATATGCACGTTTGGGCAATTCGGATTCAGATTTGCGTTACGGTCCTAGTGAGTTGAATGACGCTCTGCCAGCTGGCCGACTGGTCAGCAGCGGGTCAGGGATTACTGTATCAGGCTACATTAAAGTTAAGCAGGCCATATAAATGATGCTTCAGGACTGGTTAGACGTACGCAATATTTTACATAGCACTATTGGAGAGTGATATATGAACAGTCACATTTCAAGCAGCATTATATTCTGAATTTATGGATTTTGATAAGATTTATGAAAACTATAAGGTAATAAATTTTATTATATATGCATATTTGAGTGCATATTATAATATATTGAATTATATGTGATATATAATTACATATAATATAATCTCATATAATATATCATATAATATAATCTCAATAGCATTTTTAATTTCAACAACAAAATGTAACTGATCATAAAAACTTTTATAAGGAAAACATACTGAATATTATAATTGAAACTGAAAACAATAAACATGTTATAGCAATTTATATTCTACTATATATATTTATATTTACGTGAGATCAAAAATGAACTGATACTGAAAAAATTTCCTATAATAACCTAAAAAATATAACCCAGTTGGAAATGTTTGATTTTTTAATGTGCTTGTTTAGTGTGTGTCCTTCTGTATAATTAAATTCATTATGTTTTCGAAGCTGATTTAACGTCGAACAAAGATATTACTATATATATATATATATATATATATATATATATATATATATATTTGAATAGTCTTGAATTTGATGTTGATATATATGTTTAATTTGAGTTTAATATTCGGGCGTAACATCAATAAAAATAGTATGAGTTTTTTAAAAAAATTATTTATTTAAAATCCATACGTTTCGGCTAGCATCTTAGCCATCATTCAGTGGTAATCAAGTTAAAATTTTGTATCCTAATATAGCATATGAAACCATTATTAATCCATGGTATGAGTATGTGCACATTGATAAGATATGTATTTTTTACACAAACATCACAAATGGTAAAACACACTAATAATCATGATAACTTGACAAGTTGTCGAAACTATGTATTTACTCTTCGGAGTTTAGGATATAATTTAGATTTCTATCCTAAACTCCGAAGAGTAAATACATAGTTTCGACAAACTGTCAAGTTATCATGATTATTAGTGTGTTTACCATTGTGATGTTTGTGTTAAAAAATACATATCTTATCAATGTGCACATACTCATACCATGGATTAATAATGGTTTCATATGCTATATTAGGATACAAAATTTTAACTTGATTACCACTGAATGATGGCTAAGATGCTAGCCGAAACGTATGGATTTTAAATAAATAAATTTTTTAAAAAAATCATACTATTTTTATTGATGTTAACCCGAATATTAAACTCAAATAAACATATATATATATATATATATATATATATATATATACTAGCTGACCCGGCAAACGTTGTTTTGCTAAATAAGGTATATGCTAGACAATTTCTAGAGAATCAAGAATCGTATAATTCAATCGGAGTCCGAATAACTGGAAAAATGTTATTCGACAAAAGGTCCATTTGATCGATACCAAATTTAGGTTCTGAATTTAAATAACATTCCGGAATAATCCGAAGTCCGGATAATCCGAAGTCCGGATAATCCGAAGTCCGGATAATCCGAAGTCCGGATAATCGGAAGTCCGGATAATCGGAAGTCCGGATAATCGGATGTCCGGATAATCGGAT